TGGGGCCTGCAGTGGATTATATTATCTTGAAATGCCCACTTGAGTAGATTGCCTACTGTTGAACTGCAACATTAAGCAGGCTTACAGGGCTGCATTCGTATTGGTCCCTGTGGAGAAGAGAAAAGAGAATATAGACTCTACTACTTAGCAACAAATTACATTTTACAAACCATACTGTTAAAAGTATAGTTCCACTGGCTCACACCTTTAATCCTAGCTACTTAAGAGGCTGAGATCTCAGGATCTCATTTTAAAGCCAGCCCAGCAGGCAAAGTCCATGAGACTCTCCAATAAATTACTCAGAAAAGGCTAGATGTGGTGCTGTGGCTGAAGTGGTAGAGGACTAACCTTGTGGAGAAGCAGCTCTGGGATAGTGTCCAATCCCTGATTTCAATACCCAAAACCCACAAATATAAATACAATCTTTCATAATTTAGTTGGGGGGGGGGTGCATGCTGAAAACAGACCGACTAAAGAGTTACAGTTTCAGGTCTGTAGGTCCATAATGACTCAGCAAATCTTCTCTGATTAGTCAGCCATCCTACACCTAATTTGCATAGACCAACCAGTCAGCACAACCTAGGGTATCAAAACCCCCAATCCCTGGCACAGAGCATAAGAAGCCTCTGGACTCGCTCAGAGGAAGAAGCTGCTTGGGCTTTATATGTACATTTTTTGGTTCCTAGAATGAAAGATGGCTGCGGAGATCATTCCTGCTCTAAGCTCCTTGTTCCTGTGGGCCTCTAGTGGGCGCTGGGGAACACTACTTGAGAAGTCAAGGCTGAATGAGTGCAGAAGACAGAGCAGTTGAGCTGTGTCAAGGACAGACTTGCAGCTGTTGCTTTTTCCATCTGGAGGACCCAGCTCGAGGGAGGTCGGGTCCTCTTGCCTTTTTCTTCTCTTTTCCTAGTGGAGTGTACTGAGTAGCAGGGCCAGGTGTATTATACAGCGGGACCCAGCTTTGTTATCTGTCAAACTGAAACATGCAAAGGGGATAGGATTCCTGATATACCAAGGCCATCCCACCACATGTGAACGCACACAGGTAGCTTGTGTGGCTGGAGACCGGCAGGTAGGCTCCCAACACCATCTCCACTCTAGGTCCCAGTGTGCAAAGTGTTGGGCTCTTGGAAATGCTGCGGCTTTAGCTGCTCATTCCCAAACCCTGGAGCCTAGAGGTGGTGAGGACATAGGAGGTGTGGAAAAGAAAGAGCTGTTGCCTGTTCCCAGTTGGTCCTAAAATGGGGCTCAGGACTCCAGAGGCTCAAGTCAGCAGAGTATCGTTTGTCCTGTGGCAGGAACAGGGCACTCGGGAATCTCTGAACCAGGATGTACAACAGATGTCAGCCCAGGGGTACGAGTGGCTTGGGTAGGCAGGAAAGCAGCCTGGCTTGGCTGGGCCATGTCTCCCCCTCCCGCCCCCCCCCCCCCCAGCTGTACTCAGCTGTGCCACTTGTTAGATGTGAGCCATCGGCTAATTTTATCCGGCTTGGGCTCAGCAGGAAACCGACACCAAGGCGCGTAGTTCTTCCGGGCGACTGTGGGCGACACTGGCCTGCAGGAGGCCAGGCATGGGGAAGGAGGTGGGGAGAATGGGAGGGGTCGAGCTGCTGGCATCACAGTAGGGGCCCCTCTCCTGCCCTTGCCCAGCCTCATAAAGAACTGAGTTTGGTCACCAAGGTCAGTACATTCCAGGCCGCTGAGGCCCAGAGAAGGAAACTGTAACTTGAAAATACAGTATGAATTTCTTTCCGTGTTCTCCACATTGTTGCTAATTGAGTTCCTCTCATTTCTGAAGTTTCTGTTCCTGAGTTTTAGCAGAGTGCTTGAGACACAGCAGGTCCTTAGGAACTAGTGCTGGTGTGACATGAAAACCAGGCATGAAGCTCTCTGGTGACCACTTAGAAAGCTGAAAGGCAGCAATTCAAGGACCTTTACTACACAGCCTCCTCAATCCTTGGTGGAGCTAGGTACCCAATTCTTATCCTTGTTCCTGGGAGGGAGAGGAGAATAGTCTCTGGTCCATTTAGATTTATTCAGATTTCCAAGCTTGCTTCAAGCAGTTTTTTTTTTTTTGTACTAACTGGCACCCACCCTTTCCAGGTCCCAGCTGTCAGACTCTGGGGGAGTAGGGGGGAGTAATCCTTGTCAGCTGGCCTGCTCTGCAACTGTGAAGTGGCAGGGAGCTGAGAGCTCCCTTTGCAGACATGAAAAGGCCCTGGAGGAAAGCATATGCTCATAAAAATTATGGGATTCCATAGCTTTGAAATCTAATGATCCTGAGTGATCAAACACAGACTAAGCCTGGGGGTACTGGAGGAGGGAATGAGGGGGCAGCAGATCTTGGGTGGGAGAGCCTGGGGCCTGGCAGCAGGACAGAGTAATTAGCTTTAGTGGGAGGAGTGGAGGAGGCCTGCAGCCGGAGGGTGTTTGCATTCAACTGGAAGAAACAACAATAGGGAAGAGCTGGGTGGCAAACTACGCTCTGAAAGGAAGCCAGCCCCTCACTTTGTCCCTGGGCAGCCCAGTGTGTGGCCAGGAGTTGCTGGCAGTAGAAAGGCAGTTGGTGCCGAGGCCTTGAGTTCAAACCCCATGACTGACAAAAAAAAAAAAAACCCACAAAACAAAGCCCAACAATAACCAAGGCTACGTGAGAGTGTAGAATGCCTGGGAGAGAGAATAAAACAGGTATGTAGGTTGAGAGTGACTATAGCTGTAAAGACAGGGGGTATGTTCAGTCAGATTTTGCTCAGCTTTTATTTTTGTCCAGAGCTGGTTCTGCTGACACCTTTTGGAAATGGACTTTGCTATGCCATTGATGAATGTCTATTCTCCATTCTAGGGGCCAGTTTCTTCATCTGTAAAGGGGTTTGACTGAAATGCAAGTCAGTTGCCTGCGTTGACATCTTGTTACTCTCTGTATAAACTCGTGGCAGTCGCTTCCTATCTCCAAGCCTTAGTTTCCCCAGTTAAATTCAGTGCAGAATATAGATATGGAGGACTCTTAAGTTTCCCATAGCTGTGGCATCTTGTTGATTTTTCTCCTGTTTCCTCTTCCGTCCCACTAGTCTTAGCCAATGTAGGACTGTGTAATCCAGCTACATGAATCCCTTCAAGTTCCCCAGCAATAACATAAAAGTGGAGAGAGAAAGGAGTTGAATTGGGTTATTGCTAAGGTCCATTTCCAGTGTGATAGCAAGGTGGTAGCCTGGCCTTCAAGAGGCCTCCCCTCCAACTCAGCCAGTAACCATGTTCTCATTCTACCAAGTAACCATGTTTCTGCTTCAGAGCTCCAGAAAAGTATTCAATCTCAAATAGTTCGCTCAACCCCAAATCTCCTTATAACTTGTCTCTGTTCTTACAGAGAGCACAAACCCTGGCAGAAATCTGATTTGGAATGAGAATTCCGCTCTGAAGCCAAACTTCCTGCTGTTCTTCAGGTTAAGATTATTTCACCCTGGTAGGCAACATACATACCAAAAACCAAACATTTAGATCTGTTTATTTTTTGTTCCAAACCCCTTGAGGATTTAAATATCCCAGGTCTCAAGCTCCGAAATTTTGTTCATTCTCCTAGATTTAACTGTGGTACGTAAGTTTGCATCCTACTCTAAATATAATACTGTGCTGCTTAGACCAACCAGCATTCTCTTCAAAAGCACACCCACCCACACATGCACACCCACCCACACACACCCACCCACCCACACACACACACACACACACACACACACATACACACACACACACACACACACACACATGTAGAAGTAAATTGAAACCTTGCCAATGGTTCGTGACACTGAATGGGCGTATTTGAGCCCTGTAAATGTCTTTCCTTCATCTGGAGAGAAGTAGGTGACAGCCTGATTCTTAAGAGATATCCAGCCATGAGTAACAAAGGAGACCCCTGTAGCACCACCCTCCAGTGACTTGGTGGGGGGCGGGTCAGGGAAGAATGGAAGCAGGGCCATTGTTGCTCCAGTATTTTCAGTGGCCTCTCCTGGGAGTTACTGGGAGCCCGGGGCCCAGCTTCTCCCCTTCTACTGCTGTTAGAGCTGACAGGCTAGTAACTCGGCCCCTTCCTGCCCACTGAGCCAAGAACCAGTGGGTTTTCCTTTGAGTAGCTGATAAGAGCTGGACTAGGACCAGCGGAAGGGGGCTCAGGCCTTTGGCTTTGAATGAAACCATCAGAAGCCAACCATACCCCCAGCTGCCTGTTTGTAACGGAAAAACTCATGTGTGGGGACCATTGTCTTCTTTGGTGCCCCTCAGGGCAACCTCATCCTCCTGGCCTTGGGATGACCCTGGCTTGGGGTGGCAAGCTACCATTGGCTCCAAATAACAGCCAAGGATGCCTGGCAAAAAGATAATGGAGGGTTGGGTGACAGGAACACAATAGACAAAGGCCCAGAGAAGGGAGAAAAAGACACAGAGTGAGGACAGAGGCTGAGCTCCTAATGAGGTGAGCTGTGCTAGCTGGACACAGCCTGGTAGTGCCCTGTGCCTCCAGCCAGGGGCACTTGGAATGCTCTTCAGTAAGACTGTTGCCCAGAGCCTGGGTATAGGGAAGCATCTGGCACCGGCTTCACAAGGATGAAAATGGGCCAGAGTATGCCTCTCTTGGCACCTTTAATGCCCACTGAGTGGCCCAGGATGTCTATCATGGGGGACACACTGGGTGGTAAAGGCTAGGGTGGCTTCTCCTTCCTAAAAGAAGCTGTCCAACCCTGTGTGTGTGTGTGTGTGTGTGTGCAGCAGCTGTCTATACCATTTGGGGATTCAGGTGGAGAATGAGTTTTTCCCCCTAAAACAGTTCATTTCCTGTCCTGGCCTAGGTGGAAAAAATTGAGCTGTCATGGAAATTGAGAGATGGTCCTTACCCATGTCAACAACCACTGCCCCTCCCCTACCATGTCAGCACACTATCATTAGTCTTCCTATGCCTGCTGAGATGAAAGGAAGTCTCTTCACATTTTGACATAATGGGTACAAGGATGGGGAGCTGAGGCCTCCTGATTTATGCATTGGCTTGGGAAATCCATAAAAATCTGCGAATGAAAAATGGAACTCTGTGAGGGTTGAGGTCACTTCCCTGTGTGATAGTCTAATTTTCCAGTCTATGGTTGTATCAGTTTGAGCCAAAAAGTGAGATGTGACTCAGCCTGAGATAAGTGGAATTAATGCCAGTGTCAGGGGTAGATTGGGCCAAGATGAGGTTAATTGGCCTAAGCTCTGGGTTCTTCCTTTCTCCAAGCACCTATGTATCTATGACAGTCATAAAAAAAGAAATAGAGGGGAAAGAGGATGAAAAGGAAGCAGTAGAGGAAAAATAAAAGGCAAGGAAGAGAGAAGCAGATTGTTAACCAACCATATCGTGGGGATGCTCTTGGGAAGCCACTGGCCTCAAGAATGGGAGGCTAAACAAGACTTCTTGATTCCTCTTTCCCCATCCCCAAGTGGCTCCCCAGGATGAATGGCAACGAATTCCTCAGCATACAGAGGCATGGTTCTCCCCAATAGGCTCCTGGGGATATAGTAGCACCTTTGGCAGTTGACTTTAGTGGGTGACTAATAAGCTTGGGCCAGAGGTTCATTCTACCTCCGCCCCCTGGGGATTAGAAAGTATATGGAGAGAATCCCAAAGCCAGAGAGTGATCCCAATCTTTCTCAGGAGGTGGGGGCAGGGTGGGGAGGGGAGATGCAGGGGGAGGATAAGGGCCCTGGCAAGTTTAAAGGCATTCACAGGGAGAATTTGGTTAATGAGTTTGAAACACCTAGAGCTTTGGCTCCAAGGGGATGGTCAGGTGGCTGAAATGCTGTGTGCACAGGTTTGGGAACAAGTGTGCTGGTGGCAAAAATGTAAATGCTGAGCAGGGTGGGATGAAGGGAAAGGGCTGAAGAAGAGCACACAATGGCAGGAAAGAGACATTAAATTGGTTCCTCAGGGGTAGGGGAGCCTGGCAGCAGCTCTCCATTGGGATCTGGCTCATGGGCCAACATCTTATCCTTGCTGGAATCCCTCTGCTCTTTCTTGAACATCCTTTGATGCATCAGAGGGACGAAAAAGAGGATTACAGCTCCAATGATGGGGGGCACACCGGCAAAGTAGAAGGCCACATGGTAGTCACCAAAGCAGTTGCGAAGGAGGCCTGAAACAGTTAAGAGACACAAGTCAAGTTCAACTCTGCCCTGCCATCCAAAGGGTCTCTTCTAAAAGCCATCTCAGGGCCTGCCCAGGGAGCCTGGGCCTGTGCTGCCTTGACTCGATGCTCCCTCAACGTCAATGCAGGTGGCTTCCCCCTGCGGTTAATGAGGCTACCGGCCCTTAGGGAGAATGCTCATTAGGAGAGCTTTCATCAAGCTACAGCTGTCTTCTAGTTACTTCTAGGGATGGAATTGGGAAGGAACTAGTTTAACTAAGCCTTGTCTTGGTTCACAGTGACAGTCCTCACTCCTACTCCCTCCCTCCACATTGTACTCATGGAACAATTCAGTGGAATTCCTGATTGCTTTTTCTCTGAAGTTCCAAATGTCGTAAGAAGTTGTATGTGCATATCTTTCTTCCAGTTTTCCCTCTGAGTCCTCCAAACTGCTCTTACTATGGATATGGATGGCATAGAATGCAAGGCCTCGCATGCTCCCCTCCAGAAGCTACCGTGAGCTATTTCATATGGCAGATTCTTGGCCATTTGCTTACTCAGGAGGTAAGGGAAATGGAAAGACTTGTGGGTTCTGGGGCATGTTGGGATCAAGGGCTAGATAGAGGCTCCCCTCCTACCATAGACTGTGTGGTTGTTGCACAAGAACCTTCAGTGAGAGGTTCGCCATTGTTACATGATGCCCTCACAAAATCTTGTGCGTAAATGGCATTTAAGGAGTTTTTGTTGAATTATCCCATTTGCTAAACCTAGGGAATCTAATACATGAACCAATGCTTGCAGTAAATTCATTTGAAAGGAAATGAAGTTATTTCTTTAATTGTTTTTCTATTTCTTATATTCCCTGAGGTACCAACAATGCCCTTCTGAGAGAGGGGAGGGAGACACTAGCAGTGTTGAGAGATGGAAAGATAACATGCTGGCACTGCCTGCTGCCTGCTGGAGGTAAGCCTCAATGGCTCAGGACTTCTACAGCCCAGTTCCAAAACCAGTGGAGTGGGGAGTGCGGAAGATAGCACTCAGGTGTGCTTTTTTTCCCCTTTTTTCCCCCCCTTTTTTTTCCTTTTTCCAGTTCTGAGGCTTCAACTCTGGGCCTGAGCTTTTGTGCTTTAGGCTAGTAGTCTACTACTTGAGATAATTGGAGATAGAGTCTCATGGACTTACTTGCCCAGGCTGACTTCAAATCATGATCCTCAGATCTCAGCCTCTTGAGTAGCTGGATTAACAGGTATGAGCCACCAGTGCCCAGTTATAACTCAGCTTTAAGAAACCAGGGTTAAGGGATGGGAATGTGGCTTAGTGGTAGAGTGCTTGCCTAGCATACGTAAAGCCCTGGGTTCAATAACCAGAAAAGGTTGGAAGTAGCACTGTAGCTCAAGTGGTAGAGTGCTAGCCTTGAGCAAAAGAATCTCAGGGACAGTGAGCAAAAGAATCTCAGGGACAGTGCCCAGGCCCTGAATTCAAGCCCTAAGACTGGCCAAAAAAAGGGGAAAGAAACCAGGGATGATTCTTACTATTTTTTTACCCAAGTACCTTGAAATAATCCCTTGCCTATGAACAATATAAGAGAGTATTGGATCAAAGCTGGCCATGGTGATGTACACTTGTATCCCCAGAACTCAGGGTGGCTAAGGCAGGAAGACTGTAAAATTCAAGGCCAACTTGGGGTACATAGTGAGTTCCAAACCAGCCTGGTTTGGAACTTACATAGTAAGTTCTTCAATTAAAAATAAACCCATAATGTAAGCCAGGTGCTGCTGACTTATGTCTGTAATCCTAGCTACTCGGGAGACTGCAATCTGAGGATCACAGTTTGCAGCCAGCCTGGGCAGGAAAGTCCATGAGACTCTTATCTCCAGTTAACAACTAAAAAATTGGAAGTGGAGCTGTTACTCAAATGGTACAGCCCTAACCCTGAGGGAAAAAACAGGGACAGTGCCCAGGCTCTGAGTTCAAGCCCCAGAAGTGGTGCATGCATACATGCACATGTACACACATACACCCTTAAAAAACGGAAAAATTAAGAAAGCAGGAAAGGAGAGAGAGGAGAGGGAGAAGAGGAGAGGAAACAGAGGGGAGAGGAGAGGAAACAAAAGGACAGGAGAAGAGTAAAGAGGAGGAGAATGGGGGAGGTGGAGGAAGGGAGTGAAAGGGAATGGGGAGGAGGGGAGTGAAGGCAGAGGGGGAGGAAGGGAAGAGAGGAAGGAAGGAATATTAAGACAATAGAATGGTAATTTTTCTCTCTACTCCCCTGGAAGGATCCATGCTCTCTACAATGAAACTCCAGTGAAACATATACAACTTTGGAAAACGTCCCCCCACCCCCACCCTGCAAATGAATCCATGCCTGTGTACTATATTGAATCTCTTACACTAGTCATGGTAAGGGTTTTCCTGCACTATAACAAGACTACTTACACAGAAAAGAGGAAAAGGAGGCTTAAGCAGAGGAACTCCATAGAGGGTTCCCAGCATAAATAGGACTCGATTCCCTGGCAATGAGACTCACCTGCAATGGGAGGCCCAGCAATCATTGGCAGGGCCATCATGCCCAGTAGGTAGCCAATGGCCTGTGAGGCCTGCATCGGACCCACCAGCTCAAAAGCAATGGGGGCCATGATGGTGATGAAGAAACCATCACACAGGCCCAGGAAGAGACAGACAATGATGAGGCCTCCAAAGTCCCGGCATAGGGGAATCATCATGGACATCAGGCCCAAGAGCAGGAATGAGAGAACCTAGAAGAGCAAACACCTTAAGTCATGCCATTCTGGCTAGCCCAAACCACATAGTAGATGACATCTCCTTTCTTACATCTTCATTGCTACTACTGGGAAGAATGTCAACAGGGAGAGCAGTTGTAAGTCCTGCACTGAAGGGTTCAATTTTTAAGAGATCCCCTACTTAACTGAATCTAGCAGGAATTTCGTTTTAAAGGCAGAAATGGCCCTCAGGCCCCTTGCACTGCATCTTGAACTCAAAGGAGAAATTGCTGTTTCTTTTGCTACATCTAGCTGTCCCACAAATGGGGGTCTGGGATTGTGCCTTGCTGGTGTTCTTTGATGCAAGTAAAGTATACGGAAAGAAGGGGAAGAAGTGAGGCGAGCTTGCCTGATGATTCCACGGGGGCTGCCATGGAAGGCGCTGACTCCTAAATTGGGGGAGGAGCCAGTGCCCATTTCTGTTAGTTATAGAAAACATCTTGGCATGAGAGAGACCTTTGGGAGGTTCACCCAGGTTCCTTATACTTTAAAGTATAGAGACATATCATCCATCTAAGATACCAAGGCTCTGAGAGCCTATGGATTAAATAAAACATGCTGGGGATGCACCAAGGAGTCCTTTGAGGAGTATCAAACCACTAGCTGAGTGTCTAGAGTCTAAAACCAGCTCAGGAACACTGACTAGTCCCTGAGCTTACTTCGGCCTGAGCAAAATGACTCTAAAAGAACATGCCTTTCCAGAGGCAGGTTCCCCACCCCTCCTCTTGCAACTGGGAGAAGAACCACAGCTGGTTTTGTGTTTGTTTTGATTACGGTCATATGAAACTTGTGTCTATGACCAAGAGTAAAACCCTGGGCTCCAGGTAGAGAAAGATGCCTTGACCCCCCCAGCCCAGCACAGTCTATAGAGCCAGGTTATTCCAGGACCAGGGCTACAACTTGATCTGTTTATGAGGAGATTCATGGATTTGCCAATAGTTTGTAGTTGGCCAATAAGCAAGCCAACTTACCCAGGAAGGAGCAGACAACAAATTTGTTTCATGTCCTAAAAGTTTTTTGTGTTGTTGCTCACAGTGGTTTCATTAGGAAGATCAGCTGGTTTGGGGAAGGATAATGCCACTGAGGCCATCTCTTGGATAGCAGACCTTTGAACTTTACCCAAACTATTTTTAATAATATTTTTTTTCTTGTAAAGATAGTGTACAGAGGGGTTACAGTTACATGAGTAAGGTAATTAGTACATTTTCTATCGAGTATTGTTACCCCCTCCTTTGTTTTTCCCCTACCAACACTTCCCTCCCCACCTCCCCAACTCCTGCCTCCCCCCCCAAGTTGTAAAGTTTGTTTTCAACATAGTGTCTTATACATCTTATTGTTACAATGGGTTGATCTGTATCCTTATTTCAGCATTTTTTTTATCCTTCCCCTCCCCAAATTAGAAAAATGTATGTACAAGATGCAAAGCACCGACATCAAAAACAGTGAAAACCAGTTTTACCATGGAGGAAGAACATAGAAAAGAACCCCACCCCCCCAAAAAAAATCACATGGTATATTTTAAGTACATTAAAAACAACAGCAAGAAAGATAAAACCTCTTGGGGTTCATTTCACTTAGCAACATTTTATATGGTCATATATACATACCTTTTGACCTTTTCTGCTTGTCCTAGACATATACTAGTTATTGCAAATAAGGGAAACCATGGGACCTATGTTTCTTTGGGCCTGGCTTACTTCACTTAATATAATTTTTCCAAGACTTTCCATTTCTTAACAAATGGGATGGTGTCATTTTTTCTGATGGATGCATTGAATTCCATTATATATATACATATACATACACATATACATATATATCACATTTTCTTGATCCATTCATCTGGTGAGGGGCATCTGGGTGGGTTCCATATCTTAGCTATGGTAAATAATGCTGCTAATAAACATAGTTGTGCTGGTAGCTTTAGTATGGCTTTGTGATCATTTGGGTAAATGCCCAAAAGTGGAATTGCTGGATCATAGGGGAGCTCTATGTGTACTCTTTTGAGGAACCTCCATACTACTTTCCAAAGTGGTTGGACAAGTTTATACTCCCACCAACAAAGCAGTAGGGTTCCCTTCTGGCCACATCCCCTCCTGCATCTGTTCTTATTAGATTTCTTGATTGTAGCCATTCTAACTGGGGTGAGGTGGAATCTCAATGTTGTTTTGATTTGCATTTCTTTTATAGCTAGAGAGGTTGAGCATTTCTTCATGTGTCTATTGGCCATTCTTATTCCTCTTCAGAGAAGTCTCTCTTTAGGTCTTTAGCCCACTTGCTAATCGGGCAGTTGTTTCTTTGAGGGATTTAATTTTTGTTGGGGGATTTAATTTTTTGAGTTCTAAGTATATTTTAGATATGAGGCCCTTGTCTCTTGTATGGCTAGTGAAGATCTCCCAATCTATGGGCTTACTACTTATCTTGCTAGCTATATCCTTTGCCCTGCAGAAGCTCTATAGTTTCATGCATCCCATTTGTCCAACCTTTCTTTGATTTGTTGTGTTTCTGGGACTTTATTAAGATAATTTCAGCCTGTGCCAAGGAGCTCTAGAGTTTCTCCGATTCCTTCCTGTAATGTTTTCAGGGTGTCTGCTTTGACTTCAAGGTCTTTGATCCATTTGGAGTTGATTCTGGTGCAGGGTGATATATAAGGACCTAGCTTTAGTTTTCTACAGATGTTTAACCAATTTTGCCAGCACCATCTACTGAAGAGGCTGTCTTTCTTCCATTCTATTTTTTTAGCTCCCTTATTGAAGATTAGGTGGCTATAGGTCTGTGGGTTCATTTCTGGATCTTCAGTTTTATTCCATTGGTCCTCATCTCTGTTCTTGTGCCAGTACAAGTTGTTTTGATTACTATGGTTTTGTAGTAGAGTTTGAGATATGGTATTGATATTCCTCCAGCACTGCTCTTTCTGCTAAGAATTGTTTTTGCTATTTTGGGGTCTTTTATTGTTCCATATGGATTTTGGGGTTGCGTCTTCTATTTCATTGAAGAATGAGGTTGGGATATTGATAGGTATCGCATTGACTTTGTAGATAGCCTTTGGCAGTATTGTCATTTTCACGATGTTAATCCTCCCAATCTAGGAGCATGGGAGGTTTTTCCACTTCCTTAGTTCTGCTTTAATTTCCTTTTTCAGGTTTTTAAATTTTTCATCAGGCTGGGAATGTGGCTTAGCAGTAGAGTGCTTGCCTAGCATGCATGAAGCCCTGGGTTCAATTACTCAGTACCACATACACAGAAAAAGCCAGAAGTGGTTTTGTAGCTCAAGTGGTAGAGTGCTAGCAATGAGCAGAGAGAGGCTCAAGGATGGTGTCCAGGCCCTGAGTTAAAGTTCCAGGTTCAGCAAAAATAAATAAATAAAAATTTTCATCACTGAGGTCTTTCACTTCTTTAGTTAACTCCTAGGTATTTTCTTTTTTTGTGGAGTTATTACAAAAGGAGTTGCTTTCCTGATTTCAGCTGCACTCTTCTCATTATTGGCTTACAGAAAAGCCTTTTTTGTTGTTGTTGTTGGTCGTGAAGTGCTAACATGGCCTGGTGCCAGCAGGAATGATAAATAAACCTACCCCTTACCTGAATACCACGTGTGGTGCTGTTCTTACTCGGCTGCCTCTCTTTAAAAATCTAACAGTTGGATCTTGTCAAATGCTTTTTCTGCATCTATTGAGATAATCATGTGGTTCTTATCCTTGCTCTTGTTGATGTGATGAATTATATTGTTTTATTTTTATATATTGAACCAGCTTTGCATCCCTCAAGTGAATCCTGTTTGATCATGGTGTATGATTTTTTTGATGAGTTGTTGGAGTCAATTGGCCAAAATTTTGTTGAGGAGTTTTGCATCGATGTTCATCAAAGAAATGAGTCTATAGTTCTCTTTCTTTGATGAGTCCCTGCCTGGTTTTGGGATGAGGGTTATGATGACTTCATAGAAAGAGTTTGGTAGTGAACTTTCACTTACAATTTCATTGAAGAGTTGGAGGAGTATTGGTGTTATTTCTAATTTGAAAACCTTGTAGAATTCCACTTATTGCTGTCTCTTATTGCTGTTCCTATTTCTTTTTTTTTTCTCTTTTTCATTGTGAAAATACTGTACAGAGGGGTTACAATTACATGGGCAAGATAATGAGTACATTTCTTATCAAGCATTGTAGCCTCCTCCTTTTTTTCCCCTTCCCATCCCTTTCCATCTATCCCTGCCCCCTTTCCCCCCTCCCCCGCACCAAAGTTGTAAAGTTCATTTTTGACATAACGACTTGTACATCTCATTGTTGCAATAGGTCCACTGTACCCCTATTTAAACGATTTGTTTTTCCCTTTCCCCTCCACAAATTATACCGACATCAAATACAGTGAAAGCAGGGGTTATACTGTGGGGGAGGGACATACAAAGCAACAAAGAAATAATCTTATAAATGTGTTAGAAACAATCGCATGAAAGGAAAAAAACATTTGAATACTATCTTAGGGTTCATTTCCCTAACATCACCTTATCTGACCTTTTCTGCTTGACTCAGACATATACTAGATATTGCAAATAAGGGAAACTATGTTTCTTTGGGCCTGGCTTACTTCACTTAATATAATTTTTTCCAAGTCTTTCCATTTCCTAACAAATGGGGCAATGTCATTCTTTCTGATGGAGGCATAGAATTCCATTGTATATATATATATATATATATATATATATATATATATATACCACATTTTCTTGATCCATTCATCTACTGAGGGGCATCTGGGTGGGTTCCATATCTTAGCTATAGTAAATAATGCTGCAATAAACATAGTCATGCTGGTAGCTTTAGTGTGGTCTTGTTTGTAAATATTTGGGTAAATGCCCAAAAGTGGGATTGCTGGATCATAGGGAAGGTCTATGTGGAGTCTTTTGAGGAACCTCCATACTACTTTCCAAAGTGGTTGGACAAGTTTACACTCCCACCAACAATGCAGTAAGGTTCCCTTCTGTCCACATCCCCTCCAGCACCTGTTGTTATTAGAGTTCTTGATTTTAGCCATTCTAACTGGAGTGAGGTGGTATCTCAATGTTGTTTTGATTTGCATTTCTTTTATGGCTAGGGAGGTTGAGCATTTCTTCATGTGTCTATTGGCCATCCTATTGCTGTTCCTATTTCGACGCTTAATATGGGTCTGTTAAGTTGGTTTAAATCATCTTGGTTTAGTTTGGGGATGTCAATATTTGCTAGAAATTCTTCCATTTCATTCAGATTCTCAAACTTATTAGCATAAAGGTTTGAGAAGTATTCCCTTATAATGTTCTGAATCTTAGTTGTTTCTGTGGTGATGTTTCCATTCTCATCTCTGAGTTTGTTTATTTGGGTGTGTGCTCTTTTTCTGATAAGATTTGCTAAGGGTCTGTCAATTTTGTTAATTTTTTCAAAGAACGAACTCCTTGTTTTGTTGATTCTTTCTATGGTTTTTTTTGGACTCCAATTCATTTAATTCTGATTTAATTTTAATTATTTGTTTCCGTCTACTGGATTGGGGTTTAGCTTGCTGTTCTTTCTCAAGGAGCTTCAGGTGCCTCGTTAAATTGTTGGTTTCAGATCTCTCCAATTTGTTGATGTAGGAGCTCAGAGCGATAAACTTGCCTCTGATTACTGCCTTTGCTGTGTCCCACAGGAGCTTGTAATTTGTGTGTTCATTTTTGTTAAATACCATGAACATTTGAATTTCCTTTCTAATTCCATGATCCACTGGTGGTTCAACAGTGTGTTGTTCAGCCTCCATGTGTTACAGGATTTTCTTTGGTGGGTTTTGCCATTGAATTCCAATGTTACTTCCTTATGGTCTGAGAGAATGCAGGGAATAATTTCAATGTTTCTGAATTTAGACAAATTTGCTTTGTGACCTAAAATGTGGTCTACTTTGGAGAATGTTCTGTGTGCTGCTGAGAAGAACATATATTCTGATGCTGCTGGGTGAAATATTGTGTAGATGTCTGTTAAGTTTAGTTGACCTATGCAGTTTAGATCCAAGGTTTAGATCCAAGGTTTCTCTGTTGACTTTTTGCCAGGTTGATCTATCCAGTGGGGATAGTGGTGTGTTAAAGTCCCCAACAATTAATGTCTTTAGATCTATGTGAGATTTTAGGGAAAGTGGTGTTTCTTGGGTAAATTTGGATGCTCCGATATTTGTTGAATAAATATTTAGAATTGTAATATCCTCCTGAAGAAGAGACCCCTTAATTAGTATGTAATGACCTTCTTTATCTCTTTTTGCTAATTTTAATTTGAAGTCTATTTTATCTGATATTAGGATTGCAACGCCTGCCTGTTTATGGGGGCTGTTTGCTTGGTAGATTTTATTCTAGCCTTTCACTTTCAGGATATGTTTGTTTTTGTGGGCAAGGTGTGTCTCCTGAAGGCAGCAGATAGAAGGATCTTGCTTTTTGATCCAATTAGACAATTTGTCACTTAATTAGAGAGTTAAGTCCATTAATATTGAGAGTTAGGACTGAGGGGTGTTGGTAGTTCTACCCAGGCTATTTTGAAGTAGTGAAACTGAAGCTAGTCACCTACATTTTCCTCTAGGAGAACAGACAACTATGAGATAAAACCAGACCTATCTATCAACCAGCTCATTATGGTAATTAGAAGTTAACACTGAACTGATTTTAATCAGCTATAATTGTTACCTGTTGTATCTAGCTATCTCTTAGCATCCTCTAAGAGGCCTTTCCAAGGTTTGGAAATTTAAAATGTCTCCTGGAAAACAGGCTCTGTTAGAGAATAGGTACTAGTAGGAGGGGGAAGATACATGGCGAGGGAGAATGAGGAAGAATATAGATGAAGTATTTTATATACATGTATGCAAATAGAACAATGACACCTGTTGAAATTGTTTTAAGGGGAGAGGTGAGGTGAGGGAGAAGGATGAAAGACATGAGGTTGATGGGGTACATTGTTTGCACATATGGAAATGCCACACTGAAACCCCTTGTTGTACAACTGATACATAATAATTTTTTGGGTTGGTTGTGGGACCTGAACTCTGGGCCTGGGTGCTGTCCCTCAGCTCTGCAGCTCAAGGCTAACACTCTACCACTTTAGCCACAGCGCCACTTCCATCTTTTTCTGTTTATGTGGTACTGAGGAATCAAACCTCATGCATGCAAGGCAAGCACTCTACCACTGAGCCACCTTCCCAGCCCAATAATAATAATAATAATAATAATAATAATAATTTTAAGTCCCTCTTGGAACTGTGAATCTGGCCTCAAAAATGGTCTCAAAGTGAGCCTATTCTGCCAGCAGATTGTACAAGGGTGAGATGCCAGCCACCTGTACTTGTCTTTACCCCTCATAGGAACCAAGTGCATGGCTCTTCAGAACCTGAGGCCTGTGCATCCACATTTGACCCAGAGTGGAAAGGAGGCCAATTCCTGTGACCAAGGATACCAAGAAACCAAAGAGAAAGAAGTTTATCCTTTGTCTTGTTCTCTTGTCCTAAGACACAGAATTTGTAAAATAAGGGAGCTGGACTACACATTGGTGTAAAGGTTTCAGCTATAATGGTTTAAGATTATTTTGTATTATTCTCAGTGGTAAAATTGGGCCAAGTGTGAGTAAGGAAAAGGGCAGGAATATAAGGTGGGTGGGGAAAGTGAGCAGAAGCCCCGAGTCCTAGCCTGGCTCATTGTCTAAATAGACATGCCTCCCTGACCCTTTGAACTCCCACTGTACAGGCTGGGCAGGGGCTGCTGCCTCTCCTCAAGATAAAGTTGTGGCCCAGTGCCAGATCCCCTTTGCAGAACCCTTTGGCATCTTGAAGCAGCTAATACTGGCAGAGGAGACCTATGGGATGGGGGTAGGGGTGGCTGTGAAAGAGACAGGGAGAGTGCACATACTTCAAAGCCATCCAGATAAAAGCATTTAGTGATTTTTGCACAGTAATTCAAACTTTCGCAATTGGGTTCTCTCAATCAGAAGTCTCTTGATTTGACCTTCATCAAAGTATAAGTCCCAGCTCTTCCATGCATCACTTAGACAAAGGTAGACTGTGAGAAAAACCTTACACAGGAGCTTAGTTCTGCCTCTGCTGCTCTGCTACACCTCCAGGTAAGACCAGCCACAAGAGGAAAAGGCATAAGCTAGGAGGTCAGGGAGGTAATATTGCTGTCAGGTAGAGAAAGACTAACAACTCAGACCAGAACCCCATCACATAGAAGGTGTCTGTATCCAAATGATTGAAACTTGCCACACCTATGGCTCTTTTTTTTTTTTTTTTTTTTTTTTTTTTTTTTTTTTTTTTTTGTCGGTCGTGGGGCTTGAACTCTGGGCCTGGGCGCTGTCCTTCAGCTCTTCAGCTCAAGGCGAGCGCTCTACCACTTGAGCTACAGCGCCACTTCCGGTTTTCTGGTGGTTTATTGGAGATAGGAGTCTCACGGTCTCTCCTGCCCGGGCTGGCTTTGAACCGCGATCCTCAGATCTCAGCCTCCTGAGTAGCTAGGATTACAGGCGTGAGCCACCAGCGCCCGGCTTACCTATGGCTCTTTTGATCTTCACTTGTAAGGTGAGATAGGAAAGAAGAATTCTTTTCATTATACAATGAGGACTAGAGAGGTCTGGCTTTTGCTGGGATCTTTTTGGTGGATAGTATTTGAGAACCAATATTTGATGCCAAACAGCTCTGGAAATATGAGAAGTAATGGGCCTGGGTCTGGACCTAGAGGAGAGATACACTGACTCACAGAGTGCTTTGAGTGCCTAAGGACCTCTGAGACAGTGTAATGTAGCAATGAAATCAGTTCGTACAGTGGCACCATCAACTTTCTGGTGTCAGAATCTCGCTTGCAGAAAGGAATTTCCAGACAAGCCAGGTGCCACTGGCTCACACCTGTAATCCCAGATACTTAGAAAGCTGAGATCTGAGGATCATGGTTTAAAGCTAGCTTATGCAGAAAAGCATGTGAGACTCTTATCTCCAATGAAACACCAAAAAGCTGGGAGTGGAGCTGTGGTTCAAATGGTAGAGTGCTAACCTTGAGCAAAAAAAAAAAAAAAAAAACCTTAAGGACAATACCTAGACCCTGAGTTCAAGCCCCAGAACTGGATGTGGGGGGAGAGAGACTTCTTGTCTAAGAGATTCCACACACTACTGCTGTCACTGAATATGAACTCCATCTTGGTAAAGGAGGCAGAACAAGAACAGTTAATTGCCTTTGTTGGAAAGCTAATTTGACTAACTTTTCTATGTTGCACGTAGTTGATGTCAGAGCTGTGGTCCACATAACTGCAATGATACATTCTACCACCAAAGCCTGGGGACAACCTAATATTCCAGATAGTACATGAATAGTCCTACTCACCTGCAAGTAGATCTTCTTTAGTCCAGGAATGGAGTCACTGACATGGCCAGACACAAGACGCCCAAGGCCTGAGGTAGCCCCTATACACACCAACAGCACCCAGGTCTCCTTGATTTCCAAGAACTCTTCTTCTACATACTTCATCTGAAAGGCATAACAGAGAGACCCCCAAAACAGATGGAGGAAGAGGAGCTGACTGATGAACTGTTAGCATAAGACCCTCTAGTTTTCACTTTCCTGGACCAGGACAGAATATATTCCTTGTAACCTCAAGTCTAGATTCAATTCTTGGGTCATTCGTAACATCCACTAAAGACAGCTTACCCCTGACTCTTTGGAATTTAGGCTTTTGAGGAAGAGTTGAAGGGAGATCAGTATCTCTGAACCCCCTTTAACTCCTAATAGGACAGAACACAGCCTTAACATCTAAGAAAAATCCAGAGATTGCTCTACCATCTTTCCACTTCCTCATTCCACACTGATAGACAGGGGCAACATCAGACTGCCAGGGGAGAAGTTCTATGCAATTCTCCCGTGTGTGTTTTAAGGAACACAAAGTTTAAGGGATGAAGGTGTAGCTCAGTGGTAAAGCATGTGCTTAATGTGCACAAGGACCTGGGTTAATTCCACAATTACACACACATGCATGGATGCATATGTGCGTACACACACACAGAGATTTTTGAAGTCTGTGGAGAATGCAAACTTATCTACAATGAACAATTTGTGGCCAGACAAGTTTCTTTTGTGTGGGACTGGGGTATGAACTCAGACATCACACTCATTAGGCAGATGTTCTACCACTTGAGGCAATATTCTCAGCCATGTTTGCTTTAATTATTTTTCAGATAGAGTCTCATGTTTTTGCCTGGGGACTCAGAAGCCTTGGACTCAGCTTCTGAATAGCTGGAGTTATAGTCATGCATTACCACACCTGGCCCCTGAATTCTTTTTAGTGCTGGTACTAGGGCTTCATCTCAAGGGCTTGGGCACTGTCCCTTAGCTTGTTTTTTTCTCAAGGCTGGAACTCTACCACTTGAGTCACAGCTCCACTTCCAGATTTTTTCTGGTTAACTGGAGATAAGTCTCACACAATTTCTTGCTGGTTTTAAACTCTGGTCCTCAGATCTCAGCCTCCTGAGTAGCTAGAATTACAGGTATGAGTCACTGGCACCTGGCTCCTAAATGAATGACTTTACTGCAAGACTCATTATGGCCTTAAAGAGATTACTACACATTATGAAGTACAGCAATCTCATTCCTAAACAAAGTCATTTTTGATCAGAAAGATCAGCCTTCATTGATCATAGTCTTTACAAAGGCGATTTGGGGGTATATGAGCCAGTTCCTTGCACACACATGCATGGATGCTATATTTATCTCTTTTTTTTAAAAAAAAATCAACCTTTTTTTTTTTATCATGGAGGAGGCTGTGGTTCATAGGTCTTTCTCTTAGAAACCCCTTTTGTTTTCCATTGAAATTTTCCCTTAACCTGTGCTCTTCCCCGCCCCCCATATCTCCAATCACTGTTTTATTTTTCTAAAGATCTCAGCTCTGCCCTTTCCATGCCCTCTACCCCCATCCTCTGGACTCTTTGCAGGTTGAGGACAGCTTCTTGGGGCCAGATGGAGTGGGCCCACCCACCCTAGTCTTCCTCACCAGGTGTACATAGGGAACGAAGTAACCCAGGGCAGCAGCAGCAATGCCGAAGGCCCAGATGCGGTAGGTGCGTTGGCGGAACACTCGCATGTTGAAGTACTTCCTGAGCTGAGCCAGAAAGCGTTGTTGCAGAGTACGGACACCTCTCTTGCTTGGGGTGTCTTGAGAGCTGGGCAGGAGGGGCCGGTAGGTGAGTGAAAGCAGCATAAGAACAAACATGAAGGTACTCAGCACCTGGAAGGTTTGGGCCAGCTTGATCTTATCCCCCAGCATTTTGATGAGGAAGGGGAAGGACATGGAGAAGACGCTACTGCCAGCAGACACCACACCATTGGCCAGACCCAGGCGGCGTTGGAAGTAGTGTCCGAGGATGACGAGGGATGGTTGAAAGGCGAAGGAACAGCCACAACCAAAGAGAATCCCATAGGTGAAGTAGCGCAGGCTTAGGGAGCTGTGGGAGAGACACCAAGAGCTATCCTCAGCAGCCTGACCAGAAATCTGTCTCCACCCTCTATTTAGCCTCTTAACTCCACCCTTACCCCCACAGCCCCACTTACCACTGACCTTGTGAGCAGGTAAGGAATGGAGCCTTTTGGACCCTATTTGCATATGGGGGAGCAAAGACCTTGAGAGCTGATTTTCCCCCAAATATAACTGGGGATCAAAAAAGGCTTGGACTTGAATCCAGGTCTGTGTGATTGGAATATGAATCAAAGCAGCCCATAAAAGAGGAAAGCTGGAAAGAAAGCCAGAGCCAGCCTTCGCAGTGGCTAGATGAGAGAGCACATTAGAATAGTTTCACCAGAAAGCTGGGCACCAGTGGCTCACATCTGTAATCCTAGCTATTCTAGAGGCTGTTGTCTGTGAGTCACGGTTTGAAACCAGATGGGGCAGGAAAGTCCATGAGACTCTTATCTCCAATTAACTAGCAAAAAGCCAAAAGTAGAGCTGTGGCTCAAGTGGTAGAGTGCCAGTCTTGAGCAAAAAAAAAAAAAGCTTAGGGATAGCACCCAGGCCCTGGGTTCAAGCCTCAAGACTGGTGCATGCACGTGTGCACGTGCACACACACACACACACACACACACACACACACACACAATTTCACCTGATTGCTCACCTAGATACTATGGATAGGCTAAAGGCCAATGGTTTATCTCAGGCAATAACAAAAGTCAAGAAAAAAAAAGAATCTAAAACCTTGAAAGTTTAAGACCCTGCATAGGGCCCTTCAGCATCTTTCTCATGTTCAGGGCTCTTAATATTTCAGAAAATGACTGATAGTCTCTTAAGAGACACTCCTCCCCAACTTTGCCCAGGATTAAGATATCCCAAGGTCTTTAGCCCAAACCCTAGGTGATCTCCATGAAGACCCTAGTGTAAAAAGTCCCTTTCATTTCCCAAATCCTGCTATTATTGCTGAACATGGTAGAGATTCATTTTCTCTATAACCTGGAGACTTGAGAGGAGGAGGAGGAGCCTTAAAGTTGTGGCCTGGCTAAATAAACAGGTCCTGGCTTCAAACTCTGAGGCCCTACTGTGCCATAAGTCTCTTTAACAGCAAGTAAAATGTCAGAAGGGGAAAGGCCATGAAAGTTCAACTTGGATCCCCATTTACCACCCCCCCCCAGACAATTTTGGCACAACCTAATGAAGACTTTTGTTTTGCTTTTTGATGCCTCCATGTGTTTTGCAAGAGTTCTTATCTGACCACTAAATTACCCAATATCTTTTGGGTCAGGCAGTTCTTTCCCAGATACAGACCCAGTTCTGCACCTTAAAAGACAAAGCCTATGCTTTGTCAAGGTGATACTCGCTCCCATGATTCCAAGATAATTCTTATCACTGGTGCTTTCCATCTACATGTAGTCGCTGGACCTGAACAAGGGTTTTCATTTGAAATTTCAAAAGGAGCTAAGCTACCTCCTCCTCCTCTATCCTGTCTTTTGGGCTCTTCTCCCATTTGATTCTGGATACTTTATGGGATTGGCTTGGGCTGGGGCTTTATCTAAAGGAAAGGGACTAGACTTCAAGGAGAAGGGCATAGGGACAAAATATGGGATTCAAACCAGCGTGCTTTGTGGTGAATCTGTTTCTAGCTGGGCCCCAGCAAGGAGGCTCCTGAGCTGTGTTTGCCAGCCCTGTCTGTCCTCTTCCCCATTCCACATCATCCAAAAGAACTCACAGCTTTCAAGACAACAACCCAACAGGAAGGATGACTTGGAGCTTTAGCCACAGGCAAGACCTTTTCTTCCCTCCTCCCTGACTTCTCCACCCTGCCACTGGACATGAACCGTTCTTGGCTCTGAAATGTTCTTACAGAAAGAGCAAACGGGGTAGGGGAGGGGGGGGGGTCGGTCAGGGGCGGAGGACAGAACGCCTACTCCAATGTGCTTAAAGAAGAATGCCAGAAGAAACCACCACCTCTGAGCTTCCTTCCCTCCTGTGACTGAGTCCATGTGGAGGGGAAGGGAAATGAGATCCATATGTTGCTAATTTGTTTACACTTTGCTCTGTTCCGCCTCAAGAAACAGTCCTGGGTTACGAAGCCCTGAGAGACTGTAGCTGCTTCTTGTAAGGCATGCACTCTACCGCTGAGCTACCTTCCCAGCCCTGTAGCTGCTTCTGACGCCTAGCTCCTCCTCACGCAAGGAGCCAGGCACTAGCCTAATAGGGGAGTGGTGGGACAAATGAGGCTGACACTCAGTGGAGTCCTGAAAAGGTTTGGAGCGGCTGTCTTGAGGAAGAGGGTACTAAACAGGTTCCAGGCAGGACATGGTTTTCCCTCCTCCTCTGTCCCAGTTAGCTGGGATGGAGCCAAGAAACCATTGCATGCCAAATCGAAGCTCTGCTGGAGGGCAGACGAGGCAGCCAGAACCATTCAAATCATAGAGAAAGCTGGCTCACCCCATAGGGCCCAGTCAAAGCAGAACACAGTTACTCTCCACTGTGAGTGGAAACTTAGGCCTAGACAGGCAGGGCCCTTCTCTGGGGAGTCAAATTCAGAAAGCAAGGTAGTTCTGCCTCTCCTCCACACAGGTCACTGTGGCCACTTCTGTGTCTCCAGGCCAGCATGCTCCTTCCTATATTAGCCCAGGCAGGGTGCAAGTAGCAGGTACCATAACTTGTAAAGGGTCCTACTGAAAGTCCTACATTACTAAAGAAGCTCGTGGTGTAGGCTCTTTATTACCCTCTCCCTTACAATAAGCTTCTGCTGGGCTAGAAGGAAAGCAAGTGTAAGAACATAACATTACCAAGTTCTGCCAGGGTTTATGTTTAGCCTAGACCTAATGGGGCTAAGCATCCTTTTCCTGCTATTTTTTTTTCTAAATCACCTTTGGTTCACAGAGATCCCTCAGAAAGGGGTGGGACATGCTAAATAGCCTTGGGCTCAGCTGACTTTTGTGTAAGCATAAGTTCCTTTTTTTAGTGCCAGTGTTGGAGTTTGAACTCAGGACCTGAGTGCTGTCCCTGAGCCATAACTCCATTACTGGCTCTTTTTTTTTAGTAGTTAATTGGGCATAAGAGTTGCATGGACTTTCCTGGCTGGGCTGGCTTTGAACTGCAATCCTCAGATGTCAGCTTCCTGAGTAGCTAGGATTGCAGATGTAAGCCACCAGCATTTGGCAATATAAGTTGCTTTTGGAATCCTGGAATGCTAGGTGTTCACATATGCTCACTCAAGCAGCCCTTTTCTAGGTGGGAGAGCAAGATCATGAGATGTAAGCTACATTGAAGGGGAAGAGAATGGCAGAGCTAGAGAGACATGACAAAACCCTCTGGCGTAATCCTCTCATTTATAGATACAAAACTTGAGGCCCAGAGAGGGGAAGGATACTCATTCATTGTTCACTAGCCATTATCCAGTGGCCAAAACTTGGCTTGGACTCAGCTCCAAGACCTACCAGGCTACTCCCACCATTTTGGAGCTCTTAGGGATATTCTCTACAAATGTGTCCTGAAGATCCTACCTACATGATTCCCACTGCATGAGGAATTCTGGGAACGGAGTCTTTGAGGGCCCTACATAGCCTTGGCTACAGGGGATTCTGCAATGAGAATCGTGTTCCTAGCTGATCCCAGAAAGAAGCCAATCCTCAGCCTTGGGGAAATTGCCAGCAACTCCTAGCCTTACCTGGTGAAGGAGCTGGTGTGGAGGCCGATGAAAGCAACGGCAGCCCCGGCAGTTGCTGTGATGCGACAGCCCAAACGGTCAGTGAATATACTCACAATAGGAGAACAGAAGAAGATCATACCCATCGCCAGGGCCCCTACCCAGGCTGCAGAGAACAGAAGCACAAAAGTATTGTTATTTACCATGATGCTTAGGGAAGTTGCTGGTAACTCAGTTCTTCTCTTGACATTTCAGCAGAGGCATTGGTCAGCACTGTCAGCCTGTTGGTCCCTGATGGTTGGAGAGGGGTGTAAATAGAAGCTAGCTAAAGGGGTCAGGGGGTGGGGGGTGGGGGGAGGTTGAAGCCTCAGAGGCCTCAAAATCTCACTTTGGCTTTTTCTGTTCCAGGATGGCACACTACCATTTGAGTTACAGCTCTACTTTCAGCTTTTTGGTGGTTAATTAGTATCTTGGATTTGCCTGCCTGAGCTTAATCCTCAGATCTCAGTCTCCTGAGAAGCTAAAATTACAGGTGTGAGCCACCAGCTCCCAACTCATTTTCCTTATCAGGAGAAAGATATTTGCCCCTTAGATTTTTTTCCAACCTGTTTTGCCTTCTCAGTCCCCAGAAAGAAAACCCAAGTTATTGTTTTTTGTTGTTGTTGTTGTTTTTGTCAGTCGTGGGGCTTGAACACTGGGCTTGGGCGCTGTCCCTCAGCTCTTCAGCTCAAGGTGAGTGCTCTACCACTTGAGCTACAGTGATACTTCCAGTTTTCTGGTGGCTTATTGGAGATAAGAGTCTCACAGACTTTCCCGCCTGGGTTGTCTTTGAACTGTGATCATCAGATCTCAGACTCCTGAGTAGCTAGGATTACAGGCAGGAGCTACCAGCACCTGGCCACCTCAAGTTTTTTTAAAATTTTTTTTCTGTTACTGAGTTTCACCTTGAACCACTTTACCAGGCTACATAAGCTTAGTACCTTTAACTTTTTTCTTAGTTTTAATTTCTAAATCTAATTATTTTTCAAAGTTATCCTCTGAACATGTTCCAAGTCTTCATCATCGCCATAAAAATAAAACAAACATTCATTGAGTGTCATCTGAGCAAGGCACTGGGCCAGCTTCTGTCTGCCTTCAGTGGTAGAGCCCCAAGTAGGCTGGAGGAGTGCAAAATGAGTGCCCTAAGGACTTATTCTGCCACCTATGTCTCGTATCTTAGTGCCAAATAGCTTGCTCAGATTCCCCCTGCAAATCTCCACTTTGCTAAGCCCTAACTGCCTGTCTCCAAAACTACTGTCCATGAACAACTGCATACTTAAACTTCCATTGTAACTTCACCTCTTACCTGCTGTGGGACTTTGAGGAACCATAGCACTTTTCTCATCAGTTTTCTCATCCATGAAATGGGGATTTAAATTTCTGTAGTGCCTTCCTGAAAGTCTGTTTCTTTTTTCTGCCAGTTTGTGAATTGAACTTAGGAACTTATACTCACTAGGTAAGCACTCTACCAGTGGACTACATTCCCTGCCCAACCTTCACAGTTTTTTTTAAAGATGATGATCAGATGTAATTATATAACTAGGAGAGCCTTGGAAATACTAGTAGTTACATATAAAAATCAGTGCAAGGCAGGAGCTGATGTCACACTTGTTATTCTGTCTAAGAAAGTGGTGACCTAGAAGATTGCAGTTCAAAGCTAGCCTAGGCAGAAAAATCCAAGGGACTCCATCTGCAATTAACCCACAAAATGCTGAACTGGAAGCATGGCTTAAGTGGTAGAGTGCCATCTGTCAGTAAGCAAGCTGAGCTAGAACAAAAAGTCCTTGAGTTCAAGCCCTGGTACCAGTGTGTGCACACGTGCGTGCACACTCCCCTACCCCCCACCCACCCACTCCCCCACACACAAATGCAAAATGGATCATAGACTTAAATGTGTAAAATATAAAGCTGTAAAATTCATAGAAGAAAGAAAAGTAGAAAAATCTTACTACTGGGGCTGGGAAGGTGGTTCAGTGGTAGAGCGCATGCCTTGCATGCCAGAGGCCCTGGGTTCGATTCCTCAGCACCACATAAGCAAAAAGAAAAAAGCCGGAAGTGGTGCTGTGGCTCAAGTGGTAGAGCGCTAGCCTTGAGCTGAAGAGCTGAGGGACAGCGCCCAGGCCCAGAGTTCAAGCCCTATGACCGGACCCAAAAAAACAAAAACAAAAACAAAAAACCAAATGAAAAATCTTACTACTTTAGGCAGTATCTCACAGATATTCATATAAATTATGACCTATACAGAAAATTTTGATGCACCAGACTTAGCCAAATTTAAATTTTTGCTCTTTAAAAAAATATTGAGGGCTGGGAAGGTGGCTTAGTGGTAAAGCGCTTGCTTTGCATGCATGAGGCCCTAGGTTCGATTCCTCAGCACCACATAAGCAAAAAGAAAAAAGCCGGAAGTGGCGCTGTGGCTCAAGTGGTAGAGCGCTAGCCTTGAGCTGAAGAGCTGAGGGACAGTGCCCAGGCCCAGAGTTCAGGCCCCACAACCGGACCCCCCCCAAAAAAAATAATATTGAAAATGAAGCTAGGAACCAGTGTTTCTCAACCTAGCTAGTTGAGAGGCTGAGATTTGAGGATCATGGTTTGAAACCTACCTAGGCAGGAAAGTCCATGAGACTCATCTCTAATTAACCACCAAAAAACCCAGGAGTAGAGCTGTGGCTCAAGTGGTAGAACACTAGCCTTCAGCAAAAAAGCACCAGGTAACTGGGTACCGGTGGCTCACACCTGTAATCCTAGTTACATAGGAGACTGAGATCTGAGGATTGCGGTTCAAAGGCAGGAAAGTCTGTGAGACTCTTATCTCCAATAAATCACCATAAAACTGGAACTGGCACTCTTGCTCAAGTGGTAGAGCACTAGCCTTGAGCTGAAGAGCTGAGGGACAGCTTCCAGACCCAGAGTTCAAGCCCCACGACCAACCAAAAAAGAAAGAAAGAAAGAAAAAAAAGCCCAGGAACAGCATCCAAACCCTGAGGTCAAGCTGTAGGACAAGAACACAAAAATATACTGAAAATGAAAAGCCAGGCCATAGACTAGGAAAATTACTTGAAATGTACATATCTGCCAAAAGATTGGTATCCAGCATATGAGTGTAAATTGGTTCTTACAATTCAATAAGAAGAATGCAAGCAATCCAGCTTACAATACAAAAAAACTTGAACATACATACACTTGCTGTGAATATTAATTCAGCAATGAAACAATGCTCTACATTATTAATCACTTGGGAAATGCATATTAAAACCATCCTAAAAGATGGTCATGGTGGTACACACCTGTAATCCCAACCCTTAAGGAGGCCTGAAACAGGAGGACCATGAGTTTGAGGCTAGCTGGGGCCACATAAGACCCTGTCTCAAAAAAACAAAACCAAACGAACACCACAGTGAGAGCAACTTGTGCACTAAAACGTTTTTTAAATAAGTAACAATAGAGGGAGGATATAGAAGAACTAGAAGTCTCATATACTGCTGGTGGGAAGGAAAAATTGTATACTTACTTGAAAAAGAGTTAGGGAGATTCTTGGGAATCTGCCTCGTTCCATTGAAATCCCACCCCTAGGTATTTACTCAAGATAAATAAAACCTATATCTAAACAAAAACCTGTACCTAGAAGCTTTTTTTTTTTTTCATAATGGTCCCAAACTGGCAATAACCCAAATACACTTCAACTGGTGAATTAACAAATGGGTATACATGAATACAGTGAATATATATAACACATAGGAATGTACTATTGATAAAGGCAACGACAGGCAATTCTCAAAAGAAAGACACATAACTCCATTTATAGGAAATTCTGGACAAGACAAAACTATAGGGACAGAAAAACATGAGTGAATGCCAAGGAAGGAGAAAGGGTGAAAAGACTGACTACAGAGGTGCAAAAGGGGACCTTTCCTGATGATGGAAATGTTATATATGTTAACTACAATGGTGGTATTCATTTGGATGTGTGGTTCAGTGGTAGAGCATGCGCTTAACATATGTGAAGATGTGGGTGTGATTCCAAGTGTCAAAAAAATCGTATAATTGTGCACATAAATGTGGGAATATTACCATATGCACATTGTATTCTCTAAATCTGATAATAGCTTGAAAAAGGGTCAGGGGCTAGGAAAATAATTTAGTGGTGAGTTATGTGCTTGGCATGTGAGGCCCTGTCTTCAATCTGCAAGGGAGGGGACAGGAAAGCAGGAAGTAGTACTGTTTTTTGTGCCCATACTAGGACTTAAACTCAGAGCCTCACACTCTTGCTTGGCTTGATCGCTCATGGCTGGCACTGTACCACTTGAGCCATACCTTCAAGCTCAGTATTTTCATGATTAATGGGAGTTGTAATCTCTCAGACTTTTCAGGCTGGCATCAAACCTCAGTATTCCAGATTTCAGTGTTCTAAGTAACTAGGATTACAGGCATGAGCCACCAGTGTCCAGTTGGGAAGTGCCATTTTGAGATCTCACTTAGGGTATAGATAATTTTGGTCCTTCTAAATATCTCAAGTACAATGAAAACGGATAAGCTTGTAGCCAGGTTGTTCACACCTATTATCATAGCTATTCAGGAGGCTGAGATCTGAGGAGTTTGGTTTAAAGTCAGCCTGGGCAGAAGTCTAAGACTCTTATCAACAATTAACCACCAAAAAGCCACAAGTGAAGCTGTGGCTCAAGTGGTAGAGCACTAGCTTTGAGTGAAAAAGCTATGGGTGAGCACACAGGCTCTTAAGTCAAGCCCTAGTACTGGCACACAAGAAAATTCTTCCTAAATAATTCTTTTTTCTTTTTTTTTTGTCAGTTGTGGGGCTTGAACTCTAGGCTTGGGCACTGTTCCTCAGCTCTTCAGCTCAAGGTGAGCCCTCTACCACTGGAGCCACACCACCACTTCTGGTTTTCTGGTGGTTAATTGGAGATTAGTCTCATGGACTTCCCTGCCTGGGTTGGCTTTGAACCACGATCCTCAGATCTCAGCCTCCTGAATAGCTAGGATTACAGACATGAGCTGCTGGAGCCCGGCTTCACTCCCAAATTTTTTTGGATATAAAAGTCTCATGGATTTTCCTGCTCAGGCTGGCTTCAAACTGTGATCCTCAGACTCCTGAGTAGCTAGGATTATAGGTGT